TGGATGGATGATGGATGATGGATGGATGATGGATGATGTTTAATTTGGTGAGAGATTCAGAGAGTCATCATTAAGGCTGATCTGGTTTATGAGCTCATATTACACGAAGGCCTTTCTACTTTAATGTTTATTAAAAGAGTCACAGAGAATATTCTCACTCCCTGATGTGAAGATCAGATTTCATTACTGTTTCATCATCATGATATTCATAGTCTGAACTATATATGAATTATTTAGTCAATTCAGAGATATAGATTTTCCCCCTAAATATCTCTGCAGGTGAAAATTTAGGATTCTTGATTCTGTAAAGCCTCACATGTAGGCTGTACCATCTGCAGCCGTGCTGTGATGTCCGATGCCGCCTGGACCTCACCGGCATCACAAAAAGGAAATGATAGCATAAGAAAAAATAATAATCCTGAGATCAGCGACAAGAGATGCTGAGGAATCAACCAGAATCTAGAGTATTGATGAGTCTGTTAGTGATCTCACTGACATAAAAAGACAACAGTCACCCAGCACAGCACAAAGAAAAGCTCACATGGATAAAATGTGTGGCGCGTTCACAAACATGTAGATACGTAAAACAAATTCTACCTTTTCTTGTCAGATTCAGGCTTAAAAAAAACTATTTAGTCTCATAAAACTACATTAAAATAAATGCTATTAATACACGTACAAATAGTGATGTGAACAGGAAGGAGGAGGTTACAGCTCTCCGTCATGAAACTCTGCAGTAGCTGAAGCTGGGATCACTATGATCGGGTTTGAAGGGAACGGTGCTTTGTCAAAAAGACTCAAAGTTAAACAGCTACCAGGTGTGTTGACAACATGGCCTGGGGCTCATCTAATGATGCAGGAAGGGATTCTGTCTAAAAATGTGATATAAATACAATCCACCAACTATCATCTGGAATAAAGATGATCATCTTATCGAGAATTAACCTGGAGAACCAAAATAGGCATAGATATTAAATACAGTTAGAATGAGCAAACAGAATACATTTATGAAAAATATTTCCATTTCATAGGAGAGGGAAGAAAAATCCTCCATGTCTGTTCACAGGTGTTCTCCCATCTTTAAATGTGTGTAATCCAGTGGTGTGAAGACATGCTTCCATAGCCCAGCATGCATTCATGTGCACAGGAAAAGAGCAGGAATAAGGTGATGGGGGAATTAAAAGACTTACCCAAACACACACTGAATGTGATAAGAAATACAGATAGGTGCATATTCTGAGCCAACTTAGATGACAGTTGCTGCATTTCATTTTCTTGTGTGATCATATTGCCAGTAACATCGAAAACATGTGGTTGTTAACGGTAAAACTGTTGGGATCCGGCTTTAAGGAAGCCCTGTGGTCCAAAAGTTTTAGGGTTAACAGGGACCTTCTTTTCTCTTCTGTTCTTCACCAGGATTCAAACCGCTGAATTCATGGGAGCTTTTAAACCCTCGCTGTTCTGGCTCCTTCCTTAAAGTCCTGCAGCGATAAATTCTACAAGAACACATAACAAGTACCTCAGATTTCCAGTTTCCATCTGTTAAAAATATCCTCACTGCAGCTCCACAAAAAATGAAATAGTTTTAACTTAATGGTAATGTGGAGGATTTTCACGAAGTCTTGAAACGACCCGCCTTCTACACTTTGAAAGAAATGCACATGCAAAACCCCGTACCAGCTCCTGGCAGGGAACGCCTATTTAACACGTGCGAGAGCGTGCATGAGCCCCTTTCTCCTCGTGCACCCTCTGTTTAAAAGTTCTCATAGCTCATGCAAGCTTACTGGATCCTCCTTAGTCCGCCTTAACCCCTAAATCCCTCCATCACTGTATAGAAAGGGGGGCTGTATAGTGAACTCTTCAGAGGCCTTCTTTTTCTTCTCATTCACTTCGTAGACACTTTTTCTCTTCCAACCCTCTGCCATTTTCAAAGAACCGCGTTGAGAAAGGTGAGCTTCAATGACTGAAACCACGGCTCACCACAGATATACATCTGAAAGTGTGCATGCGCAGAAAAAGATAGCTAACGGGACGAGCACGTAGGACGGCATTACGTAAACATATCGCCAGAATAATTGACAATTAGGAGGACCACTTATTTACATGATCCACCAGAGAAAGGAAATCCTCCAGTATACCTTTAAGACTTAAAAACAAAGATAATCACAAAGAGCACTATGAACCTGATCATTTCAAATCAGGACTTATTCAGTCTTTAGTGATACAAACAAAAGACTTTCCATTCTCTGCTCTAAATAAAAAGTTTTTCTTAATTTTCTTACACTTTCATTTTTAAGTGCAGTACCACCTTCCTTGGTTCCATTAATGGATGCCTTTTTGCAGAAGGTTACGTCCCAACTGTCTGAATAAAAGGGACAGACTGTGACAGAAGTCTCAGAAAGAGGAACCTTAACTTTGGACCTTGAGGTCTCCCAGAGCGACGCATTTTTGAACTGGAAATAATTTCATGTAAATAAAAATCTGTTAGGTTAACATTTCCGATCAGGAGTTTGATCTTGAACGTGACACTTTAATTTTATCTGTTCTTGATCAAAAGGCATTAATGTGTTTGAATTGTATAGCTATGGGGGGGGGGGTCCTCTTTTATGACTGTGGGAGATTGCTGGATATTGACAGGCACTGGAACATGTTGTCTTGTGCACTGATCCAGAGCATTCTAACTATGCTCAATGGGGGGCATGTCCAGTTAAATGTCGTCAGCTTCCATCTATTTTTTAAAGATTTTTGTAACATGAGGCGATAAGTCAAAGCGTCTGCACATCAAAATGCGATTAATGAAACAAACCTGTGTTGGACGAGAATAACGTACATAAATACTGTAAATATTCTAATTATAGGCCACCGGTCTGAAGAACATATAGTCAGTGGAATTCACATTTTAAAGTGGCCTTTAACTGCCAGTCAAAGGAACACTTGTGTTGTCTATCCAGCATCTTATGCGCCCTCCTGCAAAGATGATGGATCAAAGGAGAAATGCTGACCCAAACTAACTTAGATCTGCAAACGCAATTTGATTTAAATGAGTCTTTAGAATATAGAGAAAAAATTCAATGAGAATGATGCATTTTTTTGTTCAATATATATACATATATAAATCCTCCCTGTTTTAGGAAAATATTTAGGGGTCAAAAATGAACATGCCGTTAACACCTATAAGTGTAGATGGACTCAACATAACCAAAATACATCTGTTAAAACCAGGAATTAAGATATTGAACAAAAAAAAGCTAATTCCAGCAAATAGCTGCTTTTCTTTTTGTTACCAAAATCAAGCAGACTCCTTCAGCAAAGATGATAGTGACGGTTTTAGGTTTGCAATTCTGTCTGACTGAGGAACTTAGTGAGGCAGACACCCTGTCTTTTTTAAAGGTAGGCTTAAAACTTTCACTTTTCATAAAGCCTATGGTTAGAGTGGC